AGGATAAAAAGCCCTTCCAGTTACTGAGTTAAGCCCTCTCTTTGAGGCACCCCTGAGCCCGTGTGCTCAGTATCCCATCAGCAGGTAACTTGGCTGTGGGATATGGCTTAGCAGCAGGCACTGAGCAGCCAAGCCTGGAGCAGCCCCAGCTCTCCTGACCAGGCTCCTGGTGGGGAATGACACAGGGAAAGTTGTGGAACTGGAAGCTGAAGGGCTGTGACTGGGGGAGGCAAAGCAGGTTAAGTCTGCAGCATCAGAGGTGAGGAATCATAGAATCACAGAATGGTTTGGGTTGGAAGGGACCTCAAAGCTCATGCAGTTCCACCCCCTGTGGTGGGCAGGGACACCTTCCACTAGCCCAGGTTACTCCAAGCCCTGTCCAACCTGGCCTTGGACACTTCCAGGGATGGGGCAGCCACAGCTTCTCTGGGCAACCTGTGCCAGGGCTTCCCCACCCTCTAAGTAAGGAAAGGGTAATAAGGACTTGGAAAATGCAAGTACAGGGTCGTAAACATCCCTAGGACTGCAACTATAATGTTCTCTATGGCATGAAGTGACAAGCAAAGGGAAGGGAAACACCCCACTTCCCACTTCCCAGCACGTGAAGAGACCAAGGGGTCTCTGGAGAAAAGGCTTCCAGGTCAGCACAGCTCTGGTGATGGATGACCATGTTCCAGTGTATGCTGGGTTGCTAATGAGCTGCATCATCTAATTGCTCCTCTAATTTTGAGGAACCATAGTGATTCAAGGAGAAGGGAGTGCTGGGACAAGGGGCTTTACAGAGAAAACTGTGGGATTAAAGGACGGAGACGAAACATGTCCAGGTAAGTAATTACCATTAATAGTTAAAAATGTTAGCAGTTGGTGACAGAGCAAGAAAGTGGGCACAGGTAGTAGCTGAGTCTCCTGCTGTTTCTGAAGGACTAGACAGGGATGAGGATGAAGATCCTGTAAAAGGAAGGGAGCCTCCATGAAAAAGTGCAGAGGAAGCAGTGTCAGCAAGGGCAACTGCAGCTGGTGATGGACAAGGAGAGGCAGAGGGGGACTGCTTCTTTTATCTTTTCAAAGCAAATCCGAGAGTTTACATCTTTCATTGTGCCCCGAGAATTTTTTCTGGATAATAGTTCTCCAACTTTCTAAATGTTTTTGCAATTTGAATGATATTTTTAAGGTCAAACCAAGCAACAAGTGAACAGCATCAGGCTTCTTGAAGTCAAGCACATGAATGCTGTAAATGACAAAGCTAAGAGAATGACAGAGGATGACTATGACAACAAGTTGAAATGTCAGGTTTACCACACAAGGTGGTACAACACAAAGTGGGGTTACTATTCATTCAGTTAAAGCCAACTGTTTTTTCACATATTCTCTGAAAATCTTTTGTCTACTCGCAGTGCTGCTCTCAAGCTGACCCCTCTTGACTAAGGTATCTTTCTCTGAATAGATTTGTACCCAAAAAAGCCCACTCCTTTTCCTTCAGTGAAGAAAACAGCATGAATCATGTTTTTCCAAGGTTAATTTTTTTTATTTCTATAGGCAGGAAGAGAGTGCTTCTCAGTACTACTACAGTTGACTAAAATAAACTACTGGCTACTCAGCAGGTCAAAGGATGCCTGTGAGTAGCATTCAACCAAATGAGGGGATACAGGCCTAAATATCACCCATGTAATGAAATAATGAAGGTATTTCCTAGCACAAAAAATCCTTCTTGATACCATTAGAAGTAACAGAAAAATGCATCTGACATTAAAGATTTGTTCCCAAGTCCTGAGATCTGCATGTTGCTGTACCAAAACCCAATCTCTTGAATTCCTAATAATGCAAAGCTTTTTCCAGAAAAAATAAAAAAAGTATAATACACGAAGAATGATAAAACTGATGATAGAAGAATTGATGATAGAAGAATGATAATTAGAACTTCTCAGATTTAAAGGCTGTGCAAAGATCTTGCATTAGATCCACATGATATGGATTTAGATGACAGTGTCTGAGCTGTGAACTGGAGGCAAGGCCAGACATCCCTGGTATTGACAGGAGTGTCTGTGCTCGTGACTGGACTTGGATAATCCACAGCAGGTAACAGGCAGTCTGCAAAACTGAGAGTGGCAAATGTATTGCCACTATTGGAACAGGAAGTGCAAGGAGCTGGGAAATACCTTTACTTACTTTGCAAATCTGAATTTGGAATGAACTGTCACTGGAATCATGGAGTAAATCAGGCTATCCTGATCTGGTTTTGATCTTACACATGATTTTATATCAAAAAACATGTTGGTATGGTACTAGTGGGAATGATGCCCCTTGTTTCAGTGTTTCAGAGCAGGCTCTAGTGCCCAATCCTCTGAGACAGGTATTACAAATAGGCTGCCACCAACACCCAAAGCAGGTGCACAGAGGAAAGCACTAAAATTCCCAGGAGAAGAACTACCAGGGAAAGAAAATCTCATTTTCTGATTTCTATTTACAGCCTGAAATAGGCTGTCTGCTGGGAGCAGCAGTTCTTTGGGAAAACAGTGATTATGAGGACTATGGTTGTGTTTACTTCCCGGCAGTGTTGCAGCACACTACGCGTACTCAGGGTATTTTTAGTTGCAGATTCTGCCTGGCAGAAACTCACTGGAATTAATCACATGTAGCAAATTAAACAAAAGCAAAAAAGCTGGTGGGCTTAGGGGGACCTGCAGCAGCTGAACATTTTATTGCCCTTTATAAGCAAACTTCCTCAAATTGCAGGGAAGGGGAAGGGTAAAGGCAAAAGGCAGCGGTGGGTTTTGTAACCAGGATCAAACAACCTACATATTTATCTGCAGTTTGTAGACTGGAGCAGGCTGAGGAATCTGTCTATATTCATGTTACAGTCAGAATTAAAGCTCTTCTGCAGTGAAATTGTGGAATTTGGTCCACCAACACATCAGCTGTCCTCTGACAAGTCCTTTGCAGGTGATGAGCTGCTGTGTGCCCCTGCTCCCGTCCCAGGGAGGAAGGTGCTGCAGAAAGGGCCTTGATTTGAAGCTGTGTGAGGACACTGAGGGCACTTGGTGTGTTCAGCTGGAGCAGAGGAGACTGAGGGGAGACCTCAGTGCAGTTCCAACTGCCTGGGCAGGGGCAGAGGAGGGGCAGGGACTGAGCTCTGCTCTGGGGGGACCAGGGACAGCAGCCAGGGAATGGCTGGAGCTGTGTCAGGGCAGGGTCAGGTTGGATCTCAGCCAAAGGTTCTTCCCCCAGAGGCTGGTTGGGCACTGCCCAGGCTCCCCAGGGCAGTGGGCACAGCCCCAAGGCTGCCAGAGCTCCAGGAGGGTTTGGCTGATCCTCTGGGGCACAGGGGGTGACTGTTGGGGATGGGCCTGTGCAGGGCCAGGGTTGGACTGGATGATCCTTGTGGGTCCCTTCCAACTCAGCATATCCTGTGATTCTGTAAGGCACCCAGTGGTGAGCAGGACATTCACCAGCTGTGGACTGGCATTGCCATCCACAGACATTTCAAGTAGTCTGAATCTCATGTGGATTTGCAGCATGGGAGGAAAGGTGTAAGAGTCAGGAACTCACGATGGTTTGGGCACAGCTCAGATGGATGCAAATACCCTCACCCCATATCCTTGTGGGCTGGTGAAATGGCTCCTGAACATCACCTTCTGCAGCACATCCTTCTGTTTTTGAAGAGGTTGCCTAGAAAATTCTTGCAGAAATACACCTTGTTTCCGTTGTTGCCTTTGGTGGACATGGAAGTGTATCAGTCTTGGTAACTTTCTCTCCAAAACCACAGAAATAGTAAAATTAAACTCTGGTCAATGATTAGTGTTAAATTATAAGGAGCTAACTCAGCCCAGAACTAAGCCCAGAACTTACAATAGAATTATGGCAATTAGCATTTGTGGGAAGGAACACATCACTGCTTTAAATGAAAACTATTCTGCCATTAGCTCAAAGTAGCTTGTAAAAGCTTTCACTATGACTAAGATCTGCAGTAATGTTGGAGATCATTCACCCAAAGATTGTGCTGTAATGCCTATTTATGGCTTTAGCATTTTAAGGTTTTTGTGAAGTAAAGAAGTAGGGATGAAGTGGATTCCCTCACATCTTTATGCCTTGGGAAGACAGCACGTGCCTGCTCAGGAATTAAACTAGGAATTGCATTATTGAATTGAGAATACACATGTAAGGAGTTAAGGAGATCTGAATGCTGAACTCACATCCACCACTCCAGAGCATGCTACAGTCACTCTCTGTCTTGAGCAGAAGACAACACTCACTGCTGGCATCCCCCTGCAGCATTCCAGAGCTTCTCACAGGGTGGCTGCCTACCTCCCAGGAGTGGGGAAAGAGAGACAAAAGGTGGTCTTGGGTGAGAGATGTCCAAAATGTGTTTTGTATTCTTCCAAGAGGGAAATAAATCAGTGATTGTTTTATTACTGTGAACTGAAAGATGAGCTGGTGGAGGTGCAGCTTACACAAGGCTCCACAACCCAAAGATGCACCGAGTTCAGACCCGTGTGTCTTTTCTGGAAAGATGCAAAAAGCATTATGATGGTAATGTCCTTCCTCAGGCAGGTTTTGGTTGGGTTTTTTTTCTGGCAAGAGAGATCTTTTCTAATAAATAACTGTTCTTTCGTATGAGCCAGCCATTGTCAGTGTCCAGAGGACACAAAATAGATCCTATCTGCCCAAAACAGCTCACAGACATCAACTATCATTTTGTTTTCTTTACTGGGTAAAAGGAGGAAAATGGCTTTGAAATTAGATGTTGAACCCCTTCCAGAATTGCAATATAAGATACCAAATCAATCATTCTTCACACAGTTACCTCCTACTCTACAAGCTCCTACTACCACAAAAATTGGTTGTTGCCAACTGAGCTGAGTGAATAATTTGCAGTTTCATATTTGTTAGAGGAATTTTTCCTTTTCCTCTTTTCATTATTTGTCCACAAGCAGATTGATTTCCTTTTAACATTTCTGTTCCAGACACACGTGTTGTAATCACTCTGCAAGTAACTCCTGCCATAAATCATTTGGGAGGGCTTTGTTGGGAGAAGTCTTCAAACATCAGTCCCAATTCCATTCCCTGTATATGTGAACTTGCACGATGTGTCTGTTTCTGTGAACAAAACATCAAAAGAGCCGGTTTTGAGTATTCTCCCCGAGAACAATCCTGCTTCTGAACACAGAAAATTCATGCAGAAATCACATTTCACTGAACATTATTTAAGACCTGGGGACACACACTCACAGAGATGCCTGCAGTTCACGTGCAGCTGTAAATTTCCATTCTAACTAGAGGATCAGCTTTCCAACCCTACAGATTTTACCACTTTGTGACTCAAGTCTGCTCCTCGCCAGAGCTTTTGTCTCATCCCGTCATTACAATTTCTGTCTCATAAAACATCCCTTGTGAGAGATGAGGCTTTCAATGGCAGATGAAGTGGTTGGGTTCCAAATTATGACTGAAATGATGCACAATTTCACCATTTAAAAATTACCTCATTCCCAGAAATACTGGCAGGATTCTCTTGGTTATTGTTACACTTGAATGAAAAACAAGGGTGTATCTAAACCCAAGCTGAAGAGTCCGACCTGGACCGTGCTGGAGTCAGTGCAAAGCTCCCATTTCTCCATTTTTTTAGATGGGGGAAACTGCCCTTCTCAGACTGTAAAAGACTGTCTTTTAAGATAAAAGTTTAAAAGAATGATTGCACTGTTCAGGAGGATTCAGGGGTTGTTACCGTGTGCCCTCTCACAAAGAAAAGCATTGGAGTGACTCTGACAACATGGAAAAGGAGGTAAAAGTCAACTCAGGCACAAAGTGCCGTCGTACTCCAGAGTCTGAATTTCAATCCCAAGTCTCACAGTTGGCCTGAAATGTTTGCTTTGAAGGCATTTGTAAAATACAGGCCTTGCCTCTGGGTGGTGTGCAGGGGAAACGCTCTGCTGGTATTTCAGCTACTGTAAATGGCTGCTGCAGCTGCCAGCCCAGAACTCTGTGATGGTTGTAGGAAAATGGAAATGGAAAAGTCATGAAAATCATGGATTATGATGCTTGTGACCGTAACTGGGACACGGATGGGCATCTCTTCCATTGTCTCTTGCTGTCCACTATGAAAACAGGAAAACCTTGAAAAACAGTTAAAAATAAAAAAAAAAAAAGAAATCCACGTAGAAATACTGAGAACTGCCAGTTAAAACCCAACTAACATTTTTTTAAAATATGAATTTTGCAAAAGGAAGTTTTATTTTGCTCTCTAACTTCTTCTGAAATGATTTTTAAACCTGTCAGTGCAGAAAAGACTTTGTGCACCGTGTTCACGTCCTTAACCAGCACCATCTGAGCCAAAGTGAAATTCTAACTCCCAGTGTTCACAAACAACTCCTCGGATAACGTAGTTTGTGAGAGAAACAAGTTGTTGATGTTAAGCATCAAAGTTCCCTGAACCCAACTTTCAAACAGGCAGTTTGAGGCTCGTTCCCCAGCCTGGATGCTGGATCCAGCCCAGCCACAGGAGCTCCCGCAGGAGTCACAGCTGCCCTTCCCAACATCTGCAGAACCCAGACGAGCCGTGAGAGCACTGGCCGTAGCACAGAGTAAAATCACTGTGAGACATTCAAATGAGATAATTATATCATGTTAATTTGCATCTCATTTCAGTGATGTAGTTGTATGATGCCAGCAGAGTAACTGGAAATGAATACAGCGCAGCTCGTGCCCTGTCATGTCACACTGCTGGCCTTTCAGAGCCAGGAGTTCTTAACACCGTACTCATAAACCAAGTCCCTCAAGACAAGAAAATTATTATGAAGCTGAACAACAATAATTTACACTTAGAAAAGCTCCCTTCTTTTTCTTCCACCTGGAGCAGAACAGGGAGCTCTTAGATAGTTTTCTTGTATGCTGAAGTGAAATTTTACTCTCCGGCAACAGCAAATAAATCCATGTTTCTGTTGAGTTACTTGACCAGTGTGGTGGTGTGAGCATGCTCTAGGAAGACCTGTGTAAATGGCTGCTGCTCTAGGAATATCCACACTCTAGGAAGGCCTGTGCATGCTTCTCAGAGCAGGCAATAGTGCAGTGTGTGAGTTTAAAGGCTGATGCCCTGCTTTGGAGCAGTGGCACAGCAATTCCTACACCAAGTGCTGTGTACAGTATTCCCCTTCCTGCTAGATACAGATCTCAAACATAATAGAATCTTTAACTTAGTTTTACTTACAGTTTACGCTGAATCACATAAAATGTGACCAACTCAGAGGCACAGCATGTTTCTTTGCACTTTTCATCATTTGCTTGTATTTTTTTCCCAGTGCCTACGTGATGTGACTTCACATTTGGTACGGTGATACCAATGGGGTTTTAGGGCAGAGAAATGGGGATGTGCTGGCATAAAACAAATCTAAAAACTGAAATCTTTGTAAGAAGATACATTCTTGCCATGCATTTCCTGTAATTACTATAGAAACCTACAATACTATGGATGAGAGAGGAAGGTTGCTATACTGAAAAAACCCAAATGCTAGCCTGCCTGTTTTTAAATCTGCATATTCAAGTGCACTGACATCACTGAAAGGGCAGCAGTCCAAAATATAAATCACTTGAGCTCCAGAAGCCAGGTTGCCACCCCAAGCTGCCTGAAACCACAGTGCAGGTTTGAATAGCAGCACTCTGTGCAGATCCACACCCGTCTACCTACAGCAGAATGAAATACTTGTTCAACTCCACCACGCTGTGCTCTGCTCCACTGGTGTGAAATGGCACAAAATGAGGTACAACATGTACTCTTATTCTAGAGAGCAGGTATAATCTCTGTAATTATACCACAACTGCACAGCAAATGCCGTGTAAATACAGAGCGACGGCATGTTCCTACAGCTTACTTGTTAATTATGCTGTGCTACTAACGAGTTCAAAGATAAATCATAGCACTTGCAGGATTTAGGTGCTTGCCAAGCTGGGCCATAATGGAATTCATACTATTAAAGGCTTGCTTTTGTTGATTTTCTAGTGGGATGGGGAATGGAAACGACTCACCTCTCATGCCCAAAGGCCTAAGTGTATATTTTGTCCTGGTACAGCAGAGGCAGCTACCATACAAAGTAACATGGCACAATTAGGAAATCTGGGCAATAAACAAAAAAAAAATAATTTATCTTAATAAATCACTTTTCAAATTCCATTTAGTAATCATCCTAAGCAGATATTGTGTTTAAAATCACTGGTATTGCATGCAATAGAACTGATACAGGTTTCCTGGCCCAATATTTAATCTTGCAGAGGCTAAAAACAAGAGGAAAACATCATTTCACCAGTGTCACCAGCAAAACTGTTGATTGCAGTGAGGGCAGGGCTCCACCCAGGCAGCTTGCCTGGAAATGCGCTCTTGAAATAGCTTATTTTATATGATATCAGAAATAAATCACCATGTCAGGCCAGCTCATAGCCCATGCTAGCTCTCCTCTGAGCTGCACTGCAGAATTCTGGACTACAACTTGTAACTTTTAATAGGTATTTTAATAGTATTCAATAAAATTAAATTAGCCTCTCTATAAACATTGCTCTTCCCCAAAGTCAAGCTTCTCTTTAAGTTACGACTCTGCAGTGGTTGTTTGGTTGGCCATTTATTCTGGCTTTTACAACCTGTGTTGGATCACCTTGGGCTTTATTTGAAATTTTTTTTCAATTTCATTATTTTCATATTGATTTTCTACCTGAAAGGTGATGTTGATGTTTCTGACCCTTTTTTTTTTGTACTGAAGTTGTTGTGCTATTTCTTCTGAAAAAACGACTAGTGTCTATTGCGAGGAAGGTGTTGGTCTTCAGGGACTGAAGAATCAGTACAAGCAGAGACAAAACAGCCAACTATTATTTTCTGTAGCTTATAGAAAGCTGAAGGATGGAATAAAAACCCACTGAAATTGGCTGTGCATAAATGTGGATGAAAAGAGCAACCCCAGGGCAGGGAAGTGACAACTGGGGACAAACCAGCCCAACAGACAGGCAGGAGGAGGTGGAAGCAAAGAACGGGCTGCGTTGGTCGTGCTCACCATATCTGTGCATGGGACAGGAAAACAAGGATCCACTCACAGCATCTTCAGGAGATTTAGGAGATAGCTTTGTGGGTGAAATGACTTCTTGGCTACAGAGGAAATTTTGGAATTACTGTCCGTGGGAGGGACAAGCAATTTCCTAGTGAAAGAGATGGATAGGGCAGGTGGGTCAAGGAGGGCACTGGGAAAGCAAAGAGCAGTTAACTTATTTGAAACGACAGAGAAGCAGGAAACAAAAGGAGGTTGAAGAGACTAGTAAGGATAAAAGCCATAAATTAGATAAAATTATTTGACTTTATCATCCTAACTGCATTGGTCGAGCCCAGAAAGCAGGAATGTTATGGATGTGAGCCATAAGATCATCAGAGCCTGGTTCAAAGCTTTAGTTCTCAGTTATGATAGAAAAGGACATATCTGAAATGCCATTTCTGTCATGGAGAAATAAGGGACAAATTTAAATCCAGTCAGTCCAGGCTGGCCCATGGTGTGACCTCTGCTGAGGTCGAGACAGCAGATGGGAATGAAAAAAAGCTGTGATCATACTGTTCACAGAAAGTGGGAAATAAACTGGTGGCATGAGCTTGAAAGACTCTAAACCCCCCTGCTTTAGGACACTGACCTTGATCAGATAGCTACACCTTCATGGAGAAATGCCATGAGATTCTGGTTTGGATAGAAGACAAGTCTGTCCAGGAATGGCAGGAAAATCCATGTTTGTGGTAGAGGTTCCTTAATGGCCAAGTGTGGAGGTAGCAAGGAAAGACAGCAGGAGAGCTATGGGGAGGCACAGAAGGGATGAGGATGTTTCAGTCTGCTTTGAAAGAGCAAACAGAAAGGACAGAGTGTGACATACAAAAGTAAGACTGTATTTCAGCAGGAGGATACCTGGCAATGCTCGGGGCAGAGTTTAAGGAAAGGAAGGGACAAGAACTGGCTTAGGGGAGCCAAGCAGGACCCAGAATGGGATCGGGTCACTGTAGCTGTGTGTGACATGTTGGAGTATTTTATTATCCAGTGTGCTCTTAACTGTGAGGGTAACACTGGCAACAATTCCTAAACTGAAGCATATTCTGACTGAAGATCCTTGGATCTTTAGTGGGAAAGTAACTTCAGATACAGAATGATTGTTGGTTTTAGGGGTTTATGTTACGTACACTGACTTTAAAGAAAAGGGAGCTGTACATTTCCAGCACTGGGAACCAGGCAGACTAATTGAGGCTCCTTGGCCCAGCTGCAGCAGCTGATGGGATCCTTTGAAGATGGAGTCCTGGTTCACATGGAATCACCTTGTTTTCTTTCACTCATTTCACTCCCTTCTCAATCTACCCTGTATCCTGAAGAACTGTTTGTAAGTACTCCTAGAAAACAGACATCTGCCAAAGACAAAGCAAATGTAAATGATCTTTCTTCACTCCCAGGGTCTGATCTCATTCTTCCTGAAATCTGTAGTGATTCCCACTGTCTTTGGTGGTACCAGGCCTGGTTCAACCAGCCCACATGTAAGCTTGAAATTCCCCTAATGAAAAAGGCTTAAGTGTACTGAATGGGGGAGATACTTATTAATAACTATTTAGGAGAACATGGTTCCCTTGAAAGGCTAATTATCTTGAGAGCTACCCATTCAAAAAAAAAGTCTAATCAATGGGAGAACAAATTAAAAATGAAGAATCTCTCATAAAACCAGACAGTGGAATACTGCATTCAAGAGGACATTCACCAATTAAAAGAAATGTCAACAACTCAAGTGGCAGGAACTTCAAAAGGGAATTTTTTTTCCTCATTTTCATATGCATTCTTCATGAGCAACATCAAGAAGTGTAACATGCTAATAGCTAATAACACTCAGGATAAGATTCACTAATTTACTAACTGAATAACTTAATGCATATCAAAGGCATGATTTTCTCATTTCATTCTTTTTTTAGATCTAACACTAAGCGGGGTATTATCAAGCAGATAAAACTGCACAGATTACAAGTCATCGCTGAAACAGTCATTTTAGAATTAAGATTGCTTTTTTCCATTGGATGTCTCCTTTAGGTTTAAGGAATCACATACCTCTTACCCTCATTATAACTCAGATTTAAGAAAAAGAAATCAGGAAAGTATCTTTCTGGAAATGTGATGCTTTTCTAAAAACAGAGTGCTTTGCAGAGACACACTTGTTATGATGTTAAGCTCCAAAAATGTCCCAGGTAAGCCAGTACCACCGTGGCTGGGAGGTGACCTGAGGTTCAGAAGATAGAGTCCTGAGCTGAAGCAGGGATGGCATGTGGATGACTGATGTGCCCTGGCTGTCCTGGCATGGAGGACTCTCCCTCCTGTCCCTGTGAATGGTGAGAAGCTGGTGTGATGTCAATGAAGAACAAAAGACAAAAATGTTCAATTTTTGTTTAATTACGAAAGAACTTTTGTATACTCCAAAATGATGCACTGGATGTTGAAAAATAGAACCATTTCTTGTTTAATGTGATTCTTACAAGCCTATTTACAGAATTCTACTAAATTTAAACAATGTTTTGCCTTTGCTGCTATTGCAAGCTATGTAGCCCACTACCCTCTGCTCAAACCCTTTAAGAACAGGCCACTAGTTAAGGGACCAAACACAACTAAATTAATAGTTCACACACTAGTAAACAGGAAGGAAACACCTCCTCAGCTGGCTCGTTTTCTCACAGCAAACTCCTCGCCAACAGGGCACAGCACTGCAGTGTGAGACACACACACACTCCTGTCACCTTCCTCTCCTCACAGCCCAACAATCATCACGTGTCGTGATGCCCCTGTACCAGGGAAGGCCAGGCTGTTGGAACCAATGGCTTTGTGGCAGATGGAGCAGCATGTGCAATTGGGAAAAAAACAATCTCATGCTGCCAAAATATTAATAAGGGGCTTTCTCGAAAATATTCTGCCACTGTCACTGTTACATTTAAATTTGCCATGCCAATACGACTTCTTCCAAGGGAAAAGGCTTGCTTCAGTAGGCTTTCTGAGGACAGGGACCTCTCTGCACCTATTTTTTTCTCTCCTGTCAAACCATTTGCTTCCAGTCACAAATTTTCAGCGCTGCAGCACCATGTGGGTGCTACTTGTGGTGTCTCTGATGAGAGACAGGAGCGAGCAGGGCTGGTTTGGGCAGGCTGGGCCATGATCCCTACTCACCTGAGGTGGGCAGGGACAGGCTTGGCAGTAAGGACACATAGTGAAATCCAACAGGGAATGGTTTCTTTGGGCTTCTTTGGGGTTTTTTGCACACTGTATCTCCCTCTGTGAATGCCCATGTTCCTTACACAGTGAGAAAAACCATGAAAATTTCCTCTTCTTCTTTTATACCACCAGTATTTTCCATAGCCTTATAATTGTCTTTTATTAATTTTCTTTTAAAAACAAACACTCATAATCCCTTCAAATTCTGCATCTATACAACATCAAAGCATTTCAGTGGATTTTTCAGTCCATTTATATGCCATCTGCCTGGCAGTCAGCAGTGTGGTGGTGGTACTGCAAGCAGTAAAGATGTCCCACATCTCTGCAGTTCTCCTTGTGGTAATTACTGATTCCTGGGGAAACTGAGCCTCAAACACCAAAAAAACTTTCTGTGATGTCCCACTGTTTTGCAGAGGGCACTGGGACCAGTGTGTTTTTAGTTTAAAGAGACAGCCATTGTCACTCCACTGAGGAGGAGCTTAGACTTGTTTTTGACTTCACACTTTTCTACACATTGTGACAAAAAGCTGAATAATTCTGTTTTCCTTTAGGATATTACAAGAGAAAGAACTGGTCTGATACATTTCAGATTAGAGATTCTTCCCTGAGAACAGGGTCTGTTGCCTCGTGGTACCACACCAGAAATAATCTCCTTTTCCCCAATACTGTTAGCTGGGGCAATGTATTTTCCAGAATTGCCGAACTAAATGGAGAGTTCTCCAACATAGTGCTTCTGGGAATTCAGATTACTCTCCCTCTGTCAGTACTGGGATTAAGAAGTCGTGAAGGTAATTTGCATCATAGGGATATTATAATGATTGTTCTGAAATGGAAAAATATCACACATCTGTGTTTGCATTCTCCAGTCTGAGACATACCTTTAGGAAGTCAGTTTCTGATGACATGTTGGGGCAAACGATGCCTTATCTGCATGCTTTTTTTCATGTATCATCCTGATCTGGGAACCTGGATGCCATAACCAGAAAGCTATGTTAATTGAACAGGTTTTTAAATCAGTGTAGTCCAAAACATGTTCCTCAAGACTATGAGCCTGACGAAGTCTGCTCAAGAAGCTGGAGATGTTCTGTATCTGTTGGAGGAATCACATAAAGTGTTTGTAATAAGAACCTCCAACAAAGATCATCTTGGCCTTACGGGTATTACGTATTTCTGTTTCCTAAAAATAAAAACCACCAGGTGTATGAACTGGTACTGTGAACACAAGCACAAGTAAAAGAATTCTTCTGTTTCTGGACTCCTCCTCCCCCTCGATTTGGGCAGTCAGCAAAAATACTTTTTCAGTATTGAGTTACAGTAAAGAGTTGTTGACCCTGGTGTAATTGAGAGAAAAGACAAAGTCAAGTCAATGGGGTTTGCTTCAGCTTGTGACATTTCAAATAAAGCTTCTAAATTTGTTTGGATCATTAAAGTGAAAGCATAGAGAAAACATGTGTTACAAGAATCCAAGCTTCACCCTAAAGTAATTTTTATGGAAATGCTCACAGTTAGTTAGTGTTATTTGCTTCTAATTTGGGCTTCATTCTCCATACTCTACGTTAACAAACTTAGACCACTTAATGCCAAGTGCCTTACACATTTCTCTTCAATTAAATTTCTCCAAAGAATCACATTACATGAGCATTTGCCAGTACAAAAAGCACACTCAGAAATCCTGGGTAAAATCCAGGCTCTCCTGCAGTAACCAGTAAAATTCTCATTGAAGACTGAGTTCTGCCCTACAGATCTTTGCTACATATGGGAAATAAAAAATTATCTTGTCACTTATGCTCTAAGTTCTTCAGTACACTGTTCTAAGAGCTTAGCTCTGAGTGAGCTCCATGCTAGCACTTACCACTTCCCTTACCAGATGAAAACAAGGTTACTCCAGAGTCAAACCATGTCTGGTTTCAGGTATGTTTGTAATTGTTGGAATATGCAGCAGAGGCCAGTTTAGACAAGCTTCCAACCTGTGGATGGAGCGAGGCACTCAGTTTAACAATCTGCAGTTTTACTAGAGTTTGAGCACAGGATTGCCTGCACTGGGCTCTAGGAGAGACGTAAACCATTAGGGCTTAACTGTTCAGTAATAAATTATAGGTGAATAGAACATGACAATGGGATGAAAATTAAGATTTTAAGCAATCTTTATGATAGAAGACGAGGTATAACAATTTACCTGTATTTAATTCTGAGCTATTTTTCATCTGTGTGAGATGTTGAAGTGGGCTAGTTCTGCCATTCTTTCTCTGACACAGGTTTTTTGCACCGTTTTCTCTTCCATAACTGATTCATGCAGAGCTCTGGGGTTTGATGTTCGAGAAAAAAATAAATCAGGGCTGCTCTAGGCTGACACTGGTCAGCAAGGGCAAGAGGAGGAGGGTTTGAGCTGGTGCCCCTTCCTGTCACAGCTCTGCAGGACGTCGCTGTCCTGCAGCTGAGGAAGGGCAGAGGTTGGCTGAGGGCTCACCTTCAGTGCAAAGTTACTTTCCTAACGGGTATTTTTTTTGCAGCCACTAAGATGTTACCTAGTTACCAGCAAATCACAGCCTGGTAACTGCTCAGAGAATCTGGGGTTTATTTATGACAAAGTAAGTGACCCTGGATAAGCCAGGCTGGGGACGTTTGGTCTGCCCAACAACAGGGTGAGACTCACACAAAATTTATTCGAAGTGTTAAGAGGAAAACTGCAGTATGAAATTAGTTACGATTAGTCTTGACAACACTAATTCTATTTAAAATCTCTTGAACTGGTTTAAAATTAAACTTCAGGTTCCCTCCAGCTGAAACCCAGCCTGACGCTGTTGAAGCCTGCGTCGTCCATCCCATGCCGGATTTTCTCATTTGGGAGGAAGATTGCTATTAATAGACCAGAAGTGGGGTATAAAAAAAAAAAAGGAAACAGTGAGATTACCCAATTCTGCAAATGTTTGTTTATTCGCTTGCTTTAGTTTTGCCCGAAGTTTAGTTTCCTGACAGGGCTTAATCCTCCCCTTTTGTGGCTCTGGACCATCCATCCCTCCTGTCTCCCCCAGTGCTGGCTAAGCGGGGTTGCTAAGCGACATGTTCTTCTCCTCTGTACTTTAGCAGAGAGGAACAGATCAAAGACACCCACAGTCCTGAATTATTTTATAAATGAATTTAAAGAGACACTCTCCTGTGCAGTATTATGTGGGGGGAGAACAAAAGTTACTGGCTATACTGAGTATCTGGAGAATTAAACTGATGTCTTCTGGAAAATAAGAATGCTCTCATAAATGAGAGCTGTGTAGTATTTATCTTTTTTTTTTTTTTTTTTCAGAGCTAGACTACAAATTTTTTCTGTTAATTAATGTTTCTAGTTTTCTAGTTTCATGGCAGTCAAGACATTGAACGCAGGCCAGGCTGCATGTGTGTACAACTTTCAGAATTCAGAGTTTCTGTCATTTGGTGACAAGTTTGCAGGGTTTTAAATCTTTTCATCTCTTGCAAAAGAGTTACCATTATTGAAAAATACTTAATTCTTTAATTTTTAAATATTTTCCTGATTGATATCAGGCAAGAAAGTCACAGGGTGAAGTTCAAGTGATATATCTTTAAAAGAATAAATGAAGATGAGGAAGTAATCTGTGTAGATCAGGCAGAAAACATACGACACCGACATCTCAGACCTTGCTGAAAGAATGAAAACCAAATGAATAACCTGTAATTACAAAACCTGGGAATACACAAGTTTAAACATTACCTTTTACGAGACAAGCACTTTCCTGGCATGAGTTCAGCTCTGCTGCTCTGTGCAGGCTGGGAGGTTTGTAGGAGCATGCTGGCAGCCGAGGCAGGCGTTCGCTGAAACAGAAAAGGGCGGAATTATGTGCCCTCGGATCTACTCGGTTTCAAATACCATCAATGTCGTAAAAGGAAAAAACCAGCACTTGGTAACTAAGTGCAAGTATTTTTCAGGACTTTCATTTCCAAAGATGCCATGGCTGGCACAGCCTTCAGAAGAAGGAGAGGCACACAAAAACCACGCTTGAAGCATTACCCAGGCAAGCAGGACAGAGCGTTTATGTAGAAAGCAAAACTCCCGGGTCAGATGGCTGCAAAAAAATTGGATGCAAAACTCTTCCCATGTGCAAATCTCATTGTTCCATACCAGCCACTTGAGTAGCACAAACAAACCACAGAATCACAGAATATGCTGAGTTGGAAGGAACCCACAAGGAGCATCCAGTCCAACCCCTGGCCCTGCACAGGCCCATCCCCAAGAGTCACCCCCTGTGCCCCAGAGGTTCATCCAAACCCTCCTGGAGCTCTGGCAGCCTTGGGGCTGTGCCCACTGCCCTGGGGAGCCTGGGCAGTGCCCAACCAGCCTCTGGGGGAAGAACCTTTGCCTGAGATCCAACCTGAGCCTGCCCTGACACAACTTCAGGCCATTCCCTCTCGAGGAGGGGAAGAGGAGGGGCAGACATTGATCTCTTCTCTGGGGACCAGTGATGGGATCCAAGGGAATGGAAGGTGGGAGGTGTATGGAGAGGATCTCACTCTTCCCTGTGAGTCTGGTCACAGAATGGAGGGATCCCCTCGCTCTTGTCCTAGGCCAGTGACCTCACATCAAATTGAGGGTAGATTAGTGAAACCTAATACACTCTAGGACTATAAAGAGATTACTCTCACATAAATCTTCACCGAAAAAAATAAATCAGCCTTAGTATTTATTTACATGCATTTTATTTTTCAATGAGAAAACAAGCCTCCCTTTTTTTCCTGCATCAATAAAAGTCTTTTCAAAATTCTGATTGCTTAGATTTGGCATGTAAAATCCACTGTACTACAGGTAACCTAAGCACGTATTTTAGAACAGAGCTCTGCCAGCTTTTCCATTTCTAGATATCAATTACACAGGCAAGATATGTGCTTTACTCTTGCTGACAGAGTGTTTTATGTATAAACATCTTGACCAGCACTATGTTGTCAGTGGATAGCAGATTCAGTGTGTTTTGGCTGAATTTCTGAAGGGGAAAACTGTGATTTGCACTCTAAATATTTTTTCTGGAGAATGGATTCCTCAACACACTATGAGCATCTTGTACAGAATATAAGTAAACATTTGGGAAGGAATTTCATGCTTATGGCATGTACTGACTTGCCAGCCTTGAAACTGAGCTCCCTGGGACCCAGGGCACGAGCACAGCTCTGGTTCTCTGAGCTCCACAGGCCAACTGAGTTCCCACCACTCCTACTGGACTGGCGAGGGAAGAACTGTCGAATCCTAGAATGGATTGGTTTGGAAGGGACCTTAAAAATCAGCTAGTACCATCCCCTGCCATGGGCAGGGACACCTTCCACTAGCACAGGTTACTCCAAGCCCTGTCCAACCTGGCCTGGAACACTCCCAGGGATGGGGCAGCCACAGCTTCTCTGGGCAACCTGTGCCAGGGCCTCACCACTCTCACAGCCAAGAATTTCTTCCTAATATCTAACCTAAACCTGCTCTCTGTCAGTTTGAAGCCATTCCCCCCTTGTCCTGTCACCCCAGGCCCTTATAAATAGTCTCTCTCCATCTTTCTTGTTGGCTCCTTTCAGGTACTGGAAGGCCACAATTAGGTCACTCTGAAGCTTTCTGCTCTCCAGGCTGAACAATCCCAATTCTCTCACCTTTCCTCACAGCAGAGCTGCTCCATCCCTCTGATCATCTTGGTGGCCTCCTCTGGAGTGGCTCCAATAGGTCCATGTCCTTCCTGTGCAGGGCACACAGCAGGACCTGCATTTCTGGCAAGTTTATTCAAACATCCTGAGCATGCTGTGTTTGGGAACACAGTTTGACCAAGCTGGTACTTTACCTCAAAGATAAAACGTTCTGAAGTGGTGGTGTTGTAAAAATTTGAGTTAATTTGTATTAATATTGGTAGTAGTAGTAGTAGTAGATTAATATTGGTAGAATTTTGGTTAATGAATGTAAGTAATTTGTAATTGCTGCTCCTCTTTCCTAATTTCCAGAACGCTGCAAGAGCCCCTGCTGCAGCTGGGCAGCTGGATCCCCGATGTGAGCAGCCAGGTCAAGGTTTGGGTCTAGGAATAGGAGATGATGCTTTTGACATGTGTGAGGGCAGTGGAGGCCTTTGAGAACATTAATAACATTACTTCACATTTCTACAGTACTTTCCCTGCGCCTGCTTAAAGCTCAACATAGACTATGAGTAATTAGTGATCTGGATGTCTCTGAAATGATCATCATCAGCATTTAAATCATCACTAAAATACAATTAGCAGCCCTTTGAACGGAACGCTGTCATTCCAAGCAGTCTAATTGGTGGCTCGTGGGCCAGTTCTGGACAACAGGAGGATTGTCTGCTTCTCCTCTCCTCTAACTGCACCAGCTCAAGGAGCACCCTGTCACAGGAGTGGCAGCCGTGCCCATGGGATGGACATGGAGAGCCACTATGTGACAGGAAAGGTACAAAGTATCCCTTGTGTCCAGCCCACTGCTTTGAGAAGCCTGGATTTGGTGGACCTCATTTCAGCCTGTGTGCTGATTCAAGCAGGCACAGCCTCACAACTTTACACTTTGCAATTCAAATCCATTTGTTTTTTTTTACACTTGGATTTTAGACTGTGCAGCAACAGCCGCAGGGATGAAAAAAGGGCAGTTCATGATAAGACAAATAACTGAGCAATCCACATCTCTGGGTGATGTGCTGGCAGACCAGGCTGGCGTGTGTTTGGGCAAGAGGAAGAATTCAGTTGCTGTAGCAGACTGATAGTAAAGGTCTGGCTTGCATGGTGTTCCCAAACCTGGCATCCCTACTGCACATTTAGGTAGCTAAACCTGTCACTTCCATGCCTGAGATGCTTGTGTTAATTGCATAAATGTCAACAAAAATGACATGGTTTTAAGGTGTTGGAAGTGTAAATAGCTGCTCTTCTGAAATGGCCACAGTTAATGTATTTTAGCACAGATGTGCTCTCATGATACCACTTGCAAATGCATCTTATCTGTTATAGTATCTAGCTGTAGTATTCTATTAGTATCTCTGTTATAGTAACTACTGTAGTATTCTATTAGTATCTGTTTGTAATACTACTGATGCTCCTGCAAAAAGCACTGTAGAATGTACTTTAAATACTGGCTTTTTGTACGTCTCACACAACTATGCATCCCTCCACGGGAACAGCACGCTACTGTTCCAGGTCTTCGAAGAACCAGTGCTACTGCTCCCCACCAGCTCCCGTTGCCTGCTTCATAATGCCCTTATTATTTATGCTTTTTCTCTTGAAAATTCAAGTTTAGAACTGAAAATTTTCACGCTTTTGTTTCTTACAGCTAATCAAAGGCAGCGAGTGGCCCTGATGTAATCTGTGTGGTGTGTGCCGCAGCTGAGCATCCACTGCTGTGAAAGCGCTGCTTGTTCTCTGAAAGGAGGAATTCTTTCAGCCGTCACGGCCCCCTCCTCTGCCTGCCTGCTTTTCCCAGGCACTCCAAGGACTCGCTCCCAGTCTTTTTCTTGCCCTAAAAGTGTTCTGGAGCAACACAGTCATTTACCCCACAGTTGCCCAAGGCTGAACTCCTGACGGCTTGGCCTCTACGGATGATCAAAAGTTTCAAGTTTGAGCGTAGCAGTGGCTCTACTAAGGTGTGACATCTTTTTAATCATCTTTTCTTTGGATTGGTAGTCCAGTAGTAGCCCACTCATCTGCATGTGGGCACCACAGCAGGCTATCAGAGTTCTTTTCCTCTGTTGTTCATGTAGTAAGTGACGTGCTTTCACGTATGTCCTGTCTACAAAAGATGTCAGTGTTGGCCTGGCATGTTTTACTATGGTTTGAGTGGCCTAAAGAAATTACTTGGAAAGCAGCAGATGCCTTCAGAAAAGAGGGAAAGAGGAAAAAAAAATAGACTCAAAGAGGAGAAGAGGAGAAAAAGGAGGCTCAGGGGAGACCTTATTGCTCTCTACAACTATCTGAAAGGAAGTGGGTGTCGGGCTCTTGTTCCAGGTAACAAGCAATAGGTCAAGGGGAAATGGCCTCAAGTTGGGCCAAGGATGCTCTGAGTTGGATGTGAGGAAAAATTTCGTCACCGAAAGAGTGGTTAAGCATTGGAACATGCTCTCCAGGGAAGTGCTGGAGTCACCATCGCTGGAAGTGTTTTAAAAAAAACAATGCAGATGTGGCACTTGGCGTGTGATTTAGTGGCCTTGGCGGGATTTGGCTGAAGGTTGGACTTGGTGATCTTGAAGGTCTTTTCCAACCTTAGTGATTCTATGATTCTATAATATTAACAAGTCAAGTGGCCCAAGGAAATAGAAGTGCAACTCAGCAATGGTTGCCAACAAGCAGTCTTGTAAAACCCACCCAGGAAGATAATGCAGCTCCTCATGATCCTGCTCCTGTGGTGTTCCATCTTCTCTCCCTCTCTCTGCATTCCCCATTCCATATAAGAAATGTGCATTGCTGCCCAGTTCATTCAAATACAAGGCTCCCTAAATTAGCTTTTTTCAAGCACATAAAATACGTATTGTCTCAGGAGGAACAAGAGACCAGACACTCAAAAATGTGCCGTGGGGTTTGTCACAGCCACAGCTCAGAACAGGTGCTCCAGGCGAGTTGATCACTAGTGTTTCACACAGGTAATTGTTAACAACACCCAGATAACTGTCTGTGGGATAATGGGCAACACACCAAAACCAGGCTATGAGCCATAACAGGAGAAAGTATTACAAGATGCTCA